GGGGGGGGGGGGGGGGGGGGGGGGGGAGGGGGGAGGCAGGGGGTGTCGAAGAGAGGTTTTCACAGTAAAACAACGGCGAAACACCCGCTCCCTCCCCTTCCTCCTCCTCCCTCCCCGTTCTGAATCCGCCAACGAATTTTGCATCCAGATACTCAAGCCCCTCTTGTGATATAAAAAACTGACACGTCTAGAAATAATAACAGTTGCACGATTATCTGCTGTTGGAGTGGTGAGAGCGATGTGCTGCTACGGGTTTGACTACGTCGTCGTTGTCCTCCCGGATAATGGTTTTCAAGTATTTTTTTTCTCGTTTTTTTTTTCTTAAAATTTTCTTTTTTTGCGTGGTTTTGCTGCGCCTACAGTAGGTATATTCGGCCGCTGTACGTTACAAATTAATTTTTACAAATATCGATAGAAATGAAGAATTTTTCACTATGAAGTAACGAAAAGCACTTGTATTTGTTTTGTGCTGTATTGTTAATTAGAATTTAGACGACTAATACACAACAGCAATTTAGAATACATCCGCTATCGAAGCAATAATGCAATTGGGCAAAACACTGGATTTTTGGGAGCAAGCGAAAATAATGGTGCTTCAAGAGTTGTTCCACAGTTGTAGCCTGGAGAATGAGGATCGGGCAAGAATGTACCTGGAAACAGCAGCCAGCTGGGATTTCAATGCCCTCCTCAAATTCGTTGATGAATGTACGTAAAAAATTTTTGAATTTTTCAAGTATTTCGAGAGGTGCGTTTTTTTGTTAGTTCGCTTATTCTCGTAGCAGATTGCTCATAAATCTTTGTTGGGTTCACCGATCCGGCGCTCCAGTCGACTGGCCGGGTACTGCAGCCTTTCAAGTCGGGTCGTCGGTACCTTAGCAATTACTTGGGGTTGCAATGGGGTGCTCGTCCTTCGTAAGTCGTCCTGGTCGGCACACTGCACGGAAACGATCGACGATACTAGACGGGATTGACACTGGTCGACACACTACGTTAGATAAAATACTGCCTTCAATACAGATATGACGGCCTTATATAGGCCGCTTTCATGCCAATGCACGACCTACCTAGGAGGGGGTCATGTTCTTAAAATTCCTTCCTTCCCCGGGTTTGTTCTGTTAAAAAAGGCGAGAGCTGTAGCGATGCGACAAATGGTACATCCTTTAAT